ATGTAGAACTCTCAGCTCCTTGTCTAGCACCATGTCTGCCTGCACACTGCCATGTCCTGCCATGATGATAATGGACTGAACCTCTGAACTGTAAGCCAGTCCCAATGAAATGTTTTCCTTTATAAGAGTTGCTGTGGTCATGGTGTCTCTTCACAGCAATAGAAACCCTAAGACAATAATTAATAATAATAATAATAATAATAATAATAATAATAATAAATAGTAGTTAAAATAGTGATGCTTCCTTTAGAGGCCCTACAGGAGATTCTGTCCCTCACCTCTTTCACTTTCTGGTGGCTCCAGGTCTTCCTCAAACAGGTGCTGTATCACTCCTACCCTGCCTATAGTTCATGTGGCCATCCTCTCTGTCATGTGCCTCTTACAAGAAAACTTCTCCTAGGCCACCCAGAATGATATTACCTGTGATCTTCACTTAATTACATTTGCAAAGATCTTTAAAAAAAAAAAGATGCATTCACTGTTATGGAATATTACTTTAACTGTGTAAAGGTATGTTACATTTGTCTATGCTGCATTTGTTTAACAATGTAAGGATGTGTTACATTTGTGCTGTATTTGTTTAATTATGCAACAACATATTGCATTTGTTTCAACTTGCCTGCCTAAGGCACCTGATTGGTCTGATAAAAAGATGAACAGCCAATAGCCAGGCAGGAGAGGGATAGGCGGGGCTGGTGGGCAGAGGGAATAAGTAGGAGGAGAGATATAGGCTTGAGAGAGAAGGAGGAGGAATGAGGGAGAAAGAAAGGGACACCCCCAGGGCCAGAAGCCACACAGCCACCAGACAGACAGACATGAGAAGCAGGAAAGCAAGACATACAGAAAAAAAGAAAGCTAAAAAGCCCAAGGCAAAATGTAGATGAAAAGAAACAAGTTAAGTTAGAAGAGCTAGCAAGAAACAAGCCTAAGCTAAGGCTGAGCATTCAAAACTAATAACAAGTCTCCATGTCATGATTTGGGAGCTAGTTGGTGCCCCCCCCCCCAAAAAAAGAAAGCCTATGACAATTCACAAACTTCAAGTTTTAGACATATCTGTTGGGAAACCACTCGTTTAAGCTATTATATCTTTAAAAGTTATAATTTAGTGGAGCTGACGAGGTGCTCATTTGATAAAGGGCCTTCTGTGTAAGCATGAGGACCTGAATTCAAACCCCTTGCTCCCGCAGCTGAGTACACTGTGTGTCTGTAAACAATGCACTGGAGTGGGGGGGGGGTGAGAAAGAAACAGGACGCATGCAGCTCATTAGTGAGCCAGCCTCGCATAGTTAGTGAGATGCGGGTTCACTGAGAGACCCTTCAATAAAAACAAGGTAAAGATCTGCAAAATCAAAACGGCTCAGTGGGTAAAGGTGCTGGCCACCAAGCCTGACAACCTGAGTTCAATCCCCACGACCCACATTGCAGGAGAGCACCAATGCCCACAATTTGTCCTCTGACTTCCACATGTGCATTTGAAAATAAATAAATAGATAGATAGATAGATAGATAGATAGATAAATAAATAAATAAATAAATAAATAAATAAATAAATAAATAATATTTAGTTTGGAGGTGGAGAACCATGGAGAACAGCATACAACATTGACTTCTGGCCTCCACACATGCACATCCATGTACACACAACTCTATGTGCCTACACCACATTCATACCTCTTTGCTCTAGCTTGCAAGAGATATGCCTTGACTCTCCCTTCCTCTTTTCTGTTATTGAGGCAGGAATTCACTTTGCTAGTCTATTGGAATCACCTCACTTTCTGAGACCAAATCTTCATTTGGCAACATATCTGTAAAAGGGCATGGTAGCCGCCAAAAATAGCCCCGCCCTCTCTCTACCTGCCAATCAAGGACAGGTTTCCCCTTATGAGAAGAACTTTATTAGAACGTGGATGCCAGTGCCTAAGTCACAGCCGCACTGGTGGCCCCTGCTTATGGATCAGCCCCATTTTTCTGATGGCATGGATAACAGGAGTCATAGGGTCCCGGCATCCTAAGCTCGATGTCATCATCAGTGACTGCAGCAAAGATGCACAGGATCCAGACATCTGTCCTAGCAGCTCCCTACATCTGGGTGGACTGCTCTCACGTCTGCTGCTCCAAACATCTTTACAATCCCTGTATACATCTCCCTGTATCAAGTCTCTTAAGGCTGAATGACCAAAAATGGTTTCTGATTTCCAAGGTGGACACTGACTAGTACACATCTCATGTTGCTACGGTTCTCCTGGAATGCTGTTTGCCCTCCAATAGCATTTTAAGCATATTTTTATATAATCATTCTTCAGCTCTGTACACAAAAAAGACGATCATCTTTTTGCCCCTTGTGGTTCAGTGGTAATTGATCTGGGTATAAAACCCCAGGAGCATTGTTCTTGCGCTGTGGGCGTCTGACTGCCCTGAATCCTAGCACTGGGTGCTGTTTCTGAGTAGTGTGATAAGTTATCTTTGCTCCACTCAACATCATTTGTCCTCTCAGGAATCATTTTTCTTTTGAGGTTTTAAATTTACCTGTATGGTGTCTATTTGTTGATTTCTTATCTCCACTGAAATGGCATTCTAGAAACCCTTGGAGTCTAATTATCTATGTTTCTTGATTGTTTGCCACAAAATCTTGAATCTTCTTCACTATCAATTCTTTCTTATTCTGAGACTCCCATGATATCAAGGATCTATTTATATATCCCATATTTCAACTTTTTTTTTTACCTAGTTCTTCCCCTTATCAACCCTTAGTTATGCCTAAGGGCTTGAGACATCCAGCTTACTGACTAGCTCATCCAAGATCGACAACCTGCTGTTCAAACTTTCCATTGAATTCTTCAATTCACACTTTGACTCATTACCTAATATCTCTACTGGATTTTTTTTAATGAGTATTATTTCTTTTTGCTACTTCTGATTTTTCCCACTTTTCCTTCTAGGAAGATATTTTTTAAGTTTATTTTTTATTCTTCTGCTTGCCCCCACTCAGTCCACAAGGCAAGTAGTAACCAGCTTCCCACTTACTCACCTTTCAGTTTCTCCCCATATTTGGGGATATATTTAACTTTCATCACCTTCCTGCTAGGACCTATTCAATGGGTCTCCACATCATTAAATAAAGACTCTCAAATGCAACACTTTCTTAGGTCTTCCCATTTCTCTCAATGCTTTCCTCTATCTGGAATCCTCTAACTTCCTTTACTGTTCTTGAGTTTACTATCTGTAGTCCCAGGTAGCCCTCACAATGTAACAATGTGTTCTTAGTGGAAGCAAATGTGTGTGTGTGTGTGTGTGAATGTGTACACACCTGTTAATTAACTGTACAAAGGCCTATAAGCTAATGATGACAACATAATTGCTCTTAGCTAAGAAAAAATAAAAAGTCTATTTTACATACAAAAAGGGGGCATGATTCACTATCAGCAGGGCATGTGTTCACCGGTGTTCAAAGAACCGTCTGCAAAGCTCAGTGAGCCAGCCCAGCCCTGTGACCTCACAGCTGATCAAGACTTCAGATTTCCAGTATGTCTTACTAGTGTGAAGCTGTAGGGAGGAAGTGAAACCTCGTGATGTCGATCTCCTCCAACAAGCGAGAGCTAACCTGTGTGAAAAGGGCATGGGGAGGTGATATCACCTACCTAAGCATTCAAATCTACTGGCTTAGGTTGTGGAGCTCAGGACCCATGTAACAGTTTGCAGTTACGATCCGAGTTGGTTAATCACAAAAATGGAGGAGTTCAGTTAGAAGTAGAATGGGGGTCTACAGGCTTCAAGATAAACTCAATCCACACAATCAGAGCGCATGTTGACTTCAAGGAGAAGTCGCCAAAAGGCAACTGGACACATTTCTTTTGACGCTTTCACCATTTGGCTCCGGAACCTGGGTCCTTTTGTCAGCTTGGCCAGATACTTGGGGAAGGGGAGAGTTGCCAAGCAGGACTCTGACTCCAGAAAAGTCTGTTTCTGTCTGCATGACAAACAGTGCTTTTGTGTCCTGAGGAGGAAATGCCAACCTAACAAGGGGGACCACGAATCCACAACATTTTAATTTCTACTTTGGGGAGAAGCTAACCTCCCATTCACGTTGTTGTATTACAGATTTTCATGACGACTTTCAAGTTGGCCATGGTACTTATGGTAATTTCATTACAGACCACATCTTCATCTTTTAATTTCTTTCCTATTTATAATTATACAACGGTAATTAAAAAGTATTACAACTACATGCTATCCTAGCTGAAACTCCAGCCTGCCAGGCTTATAATATTCAAGACATGGCTCTGTCTTTATTTCTTTTCTCCATTTAGGGAGGAAGAAGGGAGGAGGGCAGGGAGGCTGTGGGGACTCTGGTCATTACAACCTCGCATCCTTTCATCAACTTTTCTTTGTTCCTTAAAAAAAAAAAAAAAATAGGATTTTTCCAAATAGTCCCCCCACCAAATGAACTGTTTTGATGTAAGAGTTTCCACTTCAGTTTCTCACCACATCTGAAGCGAAGTCAGTTCAGACTCACTGAGAGCATGCAAGAACTTCAAGTGTTGTTGAAACTTGGATGAAATTCCATCTTCCGGAGCCGATGCCAGCAGCCTCGGCCTCCATTGCTCCAGAGATCTCGGGGCTGACACCATAGCCAAGGCACCTCTTAGCTTTCTCTCTCAGCACACGGAAGGTACTTGGGTGTAAAGACTTGCCTACTTTTCAGTGAAGTGTCGCTCAGAATGATGTGGAACCAAAGACACAAGCAGTGCAGACTGAGCCTCGGCTGCAGAGAGTGTTGTGAGCTGATAATTGGCCCCATTTTTTTTTTTTTTTTTTTTTTTTTTTTTGGTTTTTCGAGACAGGGTTTCTCTGTGTAGCTTTGCGCCTGTCCTGGAACTCACTTGGTAGCCCAGGCTGGCCTCGAACTCACAGAGATCCGCCTGGCTCTGCCTCCCGAGTGCTGGGATTAAAGGCGTGCGCCACCACCGCCCGGCCGACCCCATTTTTTAATATCTTCACAGAAGGTTGAACAATGGAGCCAAGCAGAGCTGTTGCCCTGCAGGAGTTCACACACTAGCCGGAAGAAGGATGCACATGTGTCCGTGTCCTGCCAGTCTCCCACCTTCCGTCCACTACAGAACTGATGTTCTTGCTCTCCAAGTCCGTGCACACCTTATGTTAATCATCCACTCATGGGCCAAACACAGTGAAGCAGATCAACAGAATCACAGTGAGTGGAAGAGGCCTGGGAGAAGCGGTTGCTATTTTTATAATCGCTGCTCTACTACGGTCTCGATTTTCCAAACTCTCCCTTGTCTCCTCAAGATGCTTTTTATGACCTTTTCCTATTGGTGACCTTTACCAGCACCAACCCAGCCCACTTTGGAATCTCAAAAGGCAAGGGCTCAAATCTTGATCGCAGATCTCTTATAAGGGTCCTCGGTCGCCCTCCAAGCTTGCCCTCTGTGAAATCTCAGGAAAGCACTTTCTCAGTGACAGGGAATAAAGACTGGTATCGGACTCTGAGAAATTACTCACAAAATAACAAAAATCCTTTGCTTTCTGTTCCTAGACCAGTGCTCTGCAACCTCAGCTCTACTTTGGAAAAACCTGATGGAAAAAAAAAAAAATGAGTTCTATCCTCCCCAGATTCCAGTGCTGAAGCCCTAAGCCCCAAGTTGATTTCTTAGGAGACGGGGCCTTTGGAGAGTTAATTCAAGTCAGAAACCCAGGGCCCTAACCCAACAGGCCCGGTGTCTTTGTAAAAGATTCCAGAGATCTCTCCCTGAAGACACACGGAAAAGCCCACGAGAAGCAGCCATCTGCAAGATGGAGAAGAGGGAACCTCATGAAGAACCAGCCCTGCCGGCACTTTGGTTTTAGAATTCCTAGCTAGAGGTAGGAGAAAAATAATTTCTACTATTTAAACAACCTGGTGATTTATTTCTTTTATAGTAGCCTGTCCAAACTAATATGCCTGCAGGGCTCCAGAAAACTCAATGCCCAAGCCACACCCCTTACCAGTTATCAGAATCTCTATGTGAAGGAACCCGTGTACCTCAGGATGCTCCCCTCTGGACTCCGGATGAGGCCCAGACCACACCCAAACACCATTTTCCAGACACAAAGACATCCTTTATTAAGCAAGGAAAAGAGACAAGACGGCTGAATCTGAATCGGGCAGAAACAGCAGCAAATGGTGCCACAGCTGTTGATTTTAAGAGAGGGAAACGGGGCAGGTCTGTGTTAGAATGAGCGAGGACTTGTTGGTAAGTTCTGATTGGGTATTTCAATTAGGTTAGTCAAAACAATGAATTTTGATTACTGGACCTTGATGTTTTGACAGTTGGATATTGGTGACCAGCCTCAGGAATGAGTCGGTGGCCAAATAAGGGAATAGACCTTGGTGGCTAGCTTTAGGAATGTAGTCTAACGGTTTATTTAGCAAGGGAGAGGGAAGGAGAGAGGGTAAGACTGGCCACCGCCATGTTTGCCATGCCCAGGCCTGCTAGAGCCCTTCACTAAGAGTGAATTCTAAGCCTCCCAAAATAACCCCAATGTGCAGCCATGTTATACAAGAAAAAGTTTTATTGTCAACTTGGAAACACGGTTTTATAATTCTTTTGATTTTACTTAACTGATGTTTTCAATTATATGATAAGGATATTCACAAGTCATTTGCTGCATATATTTGTCTCAATTTATTGCTTACTTTTATAGTTTTGTCTCATACATACACCTATATAGAGATGTTTGCATGTATACACATCTACAGGGGATGTATGTGCATATAGGTATGTGTCTTAGAGTTTCATTGCTGTGAAGAGACACCATGACCACAGCCAACTCATAAAGGAAAACAGTGAATTGGGGCTGGCTTCCAGTTTCAAAGGTTTAGGTCGTTATCGTCATGGCAGGAAGCAAGGCAGCATGCAGTCAGACCTTGTGCTGGAGAAGGAGCTGAGAGGTCTACATCTTGATCCACAGGCAGAAGGAGACTGCCACAGTAGACCTAGCTTGAGCATACTATCTGTATCTCCAGTTCCAGAGGATCCAGAGGGATTTCTGCCTCTGGAATGCTAGGATTAAAGGCGTGCGTGCCACCATTTTCTGGCCTCTGTATCTAGTGGCTGTTCTGTCTCTGACCCCAGGTAAGTTTATTAGGGTGCACAATATTTCAGAACACAATACCACCACAGGTTGGTAGAAAAGGTAGTGATGGTGGTGGTGGTGGTGGTGGTGGTAATGATGGTGGTGGTGGTGGCGGTAAAGGTAGCAGTTTGGTGGCAGTAATGGTGATAATGGTGGTGGAGGTGATGGTGATGGTGAGTGGACGGTCGGGGTGGGGGGCGCCAGATATTGGTGAAATTATTAAGGCCACTCCACATAGTTAAAAGGAGATTTATTTAATGGCGTAACTTACAAATTAAGGGATATGTAGGTCACAGGGTCTGGGGAAGGTGTATCGCAGTCCAGCAGTGTTCTCTGGAGCTCTGCTCGGTCCACCTCCACCGTCCAGGGTCCCGGAACAGAGAGAGCCTCGCCCATCCAGATCTCGGGTCTCCAGGTGCCTCCCTTGGCCCCGCCTTGTAGGTGTGACAGTTGCCGAAGTCTCAATGGGGGTTGGAACTTCCAGATCAAAGCTGGAATGGCTGCCCACTACACCTAAGGGCCAAGCTTCAAACACATGAGTCTATGGGGGCCATTTCTATTCAAAGCACCGCAGTATGTATGTGTGTGGGGCTGTTCTGTCTCTGACCCCAGATAAGTTTATTAGGGTGCACAATATTTCAGAACACAATACCACCACAGGTTGGTAGTAAAGGTAGTGATGGTGGTGGTGGTGGTAATGATGGTGGTGGTGGTGGTGGTAAAGGTAGCAGTTTGGTGGCAGTAGTGGTGATAATGGTGATGGAGGTGATGGTGACGGTGAGTGAATGGTTGGGGTGGGGGCTGGTAGTGAAGGTGGTGGTGGTTGCAGTTTGTTAACGTACCAGTCTTACACTCTACGAATTTTTGTCACCGGTGAGCTCTTGCCTATCCACCGAATGCTGACCTCCACATAGTTTCTGCTGGTTCCCAGTGACTTTTAAAATTTTTTATTTTGGTTTGCTGAGCTGGTCAAGAACCCACAGCCAGTAAGGCAAGAGTCCATCTTGACATGACTCCAGGGTGGGGGGTGCTTCCTCCTGTGCAGCTGACCCTCCAAGTGAAGGAAGAACATAGGAGTGCCTACGACACTGGTTCTCAACCTGTGGGTCCAGGCCCCTTTGGGGGGTCAAAGGACCTTTCACGGGGTCACCTAAGACCATCCTGCATGTCAGATATTTACATTACAATTTATAACAGTAGCAAAATCACAGTGATGAAGTGGCAACAAAAATAATTTTATGGCTGGGGGTCTCCACAACACTCAGTGTTAGGAAGGTTGAGAACCACTCCTCTAGAAGGTCGTCAGGAACGCTCATTCTCAGGGGACAACGGGAGGGGCCGCACCCCAAGGAAGACTTGTGGACCATTTGACAACCCTGCCTTCCGCCATGCTTCCCTCTTCAGCCTTGAGCCAGCTCTGTGCTGAAGGAAGCATGGAGGGGAGGCCTGGGCTTGAATTTTCATCAGCTTCTCAACAACGAGTCACGTGATTCCCAAGTGGCTACAGCAGTGAGTCATGTGATCCTCCACTGGATACGGCAATGTCATCCAAAGTCACGACTCTCACCTTCATTCCAGCCCACGGGAAGTAGAAAACTAGGAAATAATCCCAGGTTCCATTTCCTCGAGCCTTCCTCAGGGGATCGGACCAACGCTCCAATGGAAGAACCTCTAAATGGATGTGACAACGGCTAGTGTCACCCCACCATGACACTTCATCTTGGGCAACACGCTACATTTAACAAACATTTGCTATGTGCCAGATACTGGAACAAACCAGCCAAGATTCCTTCCCAGAAGCACATGGTTTGATTTCTCCAGGAACAGACATTGTTGGTCTCCCTGAAAATCACCAGACTGAGTTCTTTCCTCCCTTATCCTCTCCTCACTCCCGAACCTCCTGTGGAACAATTTTTGCACACTGTAAATTTGTGTTGTTCTCACTGTTAATAAAAAAAAAAATTGGCCGATGGCTAGGCAGGATTCTCAGGACAGAGAGAATGCTGGGAAGGGGGACAGAGTCAGAGGAGTCCACCGAGTCACGGAGGAGAAAGAGGGGTGCAAGATGAAAGAGAGTTAACACCACATGGCAGAATGTAGATTAATAGAAATGGGTTAAAGTTTTAAGAACTAGTTAGTAATAAGCCTGAGCTATTGGCCAAGAATTTATAATTAATATTAAGTCTCTGTGAGTTTACTGGGGATGGGGGGTGTGTAGAAAATAAGAAAACAACCCACTCAGCCCTTCCCCTCCCCATCCCCCAATGGTACACAGCCCATCTACACAGGGGCATTATATGTAGCAAGTGGATTGCTGCTGTGGACTGAGCGACTCTCCTCCTCCAAAGTCCTGTGCTGAGAGCGCCCACCCTGAGGTGATGCTTTTAGGGAGTGAGTCCTTTGAGGGCTTGCATTCCGTGTGAGGGAACAGCCATGGGTGCCCTCTGTGAACAGCCATGGGTGCCCTTTCCCCACCTTCTAATATTAACCAGAAGGTAGGCCCTTACCACCGAATGGGCATGGAAGTTTATTATTCTTAGCCAATGACAAGTAAAAAGGTGCTAATGTTTGCCAGCATTGATCTTAGACATCTCAGCCTGCAGAACTGTGGGAAATAAATTAGTATTGCCTACAAGCTGCCCAGTTTACAGCTTCCTGGTATGGCTGGCTGCATGGGTTTAGACACTGACAAATGAGAATCAGAGAGAAGCCAGGCAAATTTGGAAAAGCGGTTTGATAAGCCGTCACTGCGCCAGTGGGCCCGGCCTTTAAGCTGTGTGCCTCGATACATAGGTGTAGCCTGCAGAACCTGCTCTACCAAGGCAGGGTCCAGCCCTCTGGCAATGGAAGTTAACATTCTTGGAGCTCTGTGGGCAACACTGTGATCAGCCACACCAGTTAAAGGATGAGAACCCTGAATTTGCTTTTGACTGACTACCTAGGAGCCACCGAGGTGCTGTGTGAAACCGAAGAGTCCCTGATGTATATCCCACCTGCTGTTGGCCGTGCCTCTGGAAGCCATTGCCTCCTCTGAATGATTCCAGCTGGTAGGCCCTTTGTGCTGGCTTTTATGAGCTGTGAGGACGGATACAAAAGGTGGAGTTCAGCCTTTCAGAGAATGTAGAAGTCTTGCCCCTGCAACTCAACACATGCTTCTCTTTTCTTTCTCTCTCCCTTCTGGAATTAATAGGGATAGGAGCTGCTTAAATGCTGAATGAAATGTTCTTAGACAACCCTGGCCCATGCACAGATGCTCAGAGGACTGCAAAGACTTCACTATCTGGGGGAGGAGGGGTGACTGGTATTTATGTTTTCCTGTCTCTTGTCTGAACCCATAAGCAATTGTCAGAACAAAATCCTCATGTTTTTTCCATCAATTCAGAATTTAAATGTGGACTGTAGACAGAGATTTTACCCTCTTTAACCCCCACCCTGCTCCTTACCTCACCATGTGCCTCTGGCAGGTTAGTATCATAAATCCCAATATAAAATTCCCTCCTGCTTAAC